ATATATTGGATGATCCGGGTATTTGGTTTGTGTTTTGGGGTTAAAGGGTAGTTCGGTAATTTGTCACCTCGGGCTTCTATGGAAAATGGATGTTTTTCCGGGACATGGTAAGGAGGGTACGAGTTGATTAAAGCATAGAGCTTCTCGTTACCTTTTCATGGATATATGGATCGTCGGAATCAGAAATATATCGAAGAAGTTATGGCCTTCAGAATGTGTAGGGTTTGAGGGGAAACCCTAGTATGCGGGGTGTACCTAGGGAGTACGCGGCGCGTACTGCTGCAGAGGAGGATACGCGAGGCGTAGTGTGGATTACGCTGAGCGTAGTGCGAGGGTTGATCGGGAATGCGAAGCCTCGTACGTTGGGCGTACGAGGAGTACGCGGGGCGTACGAGGAGTACGCGGGGCGTACGAGGGGAATTAAGAAACCCTAATTTTTGGTATGGAACCCTATATAAATACATTTAGTCATTAGGGTTAGCCTCTTTACTAGCCTCCAAGTCCCCAAAACCCTAGAAATCATCTCTAAGCCTCCATGGTTGTGATTATGAGCTCATGATGTGAATTTTGGTGTTTTTGGGTCATTTCCAAGAAGATGGAGTTTGATGCAAGGTTGTGAATCAAGAATGAGCTTATGGATCTGGATTATGTGCTTCATTTCCAACTTGTGTGAGGTAAAAAGCTTGAATGTTGTTCATTTTTAGCTTAGATCTCCTTCGTTTGAGTTTTGGACCCATTTTGGTCCCTTAGATGAGATCTTGTGGATTATTATCATTTTTGAAGCTTAGAGTTGCTACTCTTGGTGTTCTTTTGGTCCTAGAGTCATAAAGTTGTCACCTTTGAGGCTTAGAACCATCCATGCATGAGTTATGACCATTGTTATGGAAGTAGAAGGTTATATTTTGAATTTGGGTTCGTTTGGGTCATGCAAAGTCACCAAGTCAGTGACTTTATGGTTCTAAACGATGTTTATGGCTTAGATCTATGGCTTGGACTTCTGGACTTAAGCATTAAGAGCTTAATGTAAAATATGGCTTAAAGGAAGAGTACAATGGGCGTACAAGTCTGTACGCGCAGCGTACAAGCCAGATTTCATGTACGCTTAGCGTACAACTGAGTACGCCCCGCGTACTCTGTCGGGAGGGTTTTGGCCTTTTGGGATTCGTGTTGGGTTTCCTTTTTGGGATTGGGTGTTTGAGTTCTTATTGGGCCATATGAGTATGAGTGTCATGGACCAGGAGTTTTGGTTGGGCTTTAGGGTAAGGCCCAAGTATGGGGTTTGGGCCCAATTCGGAAAATTAGGCCTTGGTTGGTTATTTGACTTTTGGGCCTTTCAGGTTATGAGTTTGGGCCTTGGTCCTAGATCAAGCTAGGTTAGGGGTAAAATGGTCTTTTACCCCGAGTATGAATTTATGGTTATGGTTTGGAACCCAATTGGTAATTAGGTGTTGTTTTGATATTGACAGTTCAAGGAATCTGTCAGCCAACAGCCAGAGATCGTCGGTGTGATTCGTCGGTGCGAGGTGAGTCTCCTCACTGGGTTTAATGGGTCGAAGGCACCAATGTCGGTCCATGGTTTTATGTTAGGAAGCTAGATATATGTTCAACTCTTGTACGTGTTATATTATGATATTGTTTACCGAGCAAGGCCCGATGCCAGGCGAGGCCTGAGGAGGTTATCGTATGTTGATTATCAGTATGTGTCTTATGATTACCGGGCAAGGCCCGATGCCCGGCGGGGATCGATGACTGTATGGAATGCTATAGTCTTTGTGATTATTGCATGTGTTGGTAGGTTGTATGTTTACATGATTATATGGTTATATGATTATGTGAGTATCGGGTGAGGCCCAATGTCAGGCGGGGCCTGGAGAATGACAGATCTGTAATCCGAGCGGGGCTCGATGCCGGGCGGGGTCCGAGGCCGAGTGGGACTCGAGACCGGGCGAGGCCCGATGGAGGGCGGGGCCCAGTACTTGATTTACGTATGTGTGTTATGTGGTATCTTGGGGAACTCACTAAGCTCTATGCTTACGGTTTTCAGTTTATGTTTCAGGTACTTCGGTTTTCAAAATGGAAGAGCTCGGGATGATTGTAGAGTACACTTTATGTTCCGCATTTGACCCTGTTCTGGGATTTATACTCTGATTGTAATGTATCGGTTTGAAACAAGTAATTGATGATACTCCTTAAATATTTAAAAATGAAATTTTATGTTAATATTTTTGGAATGTTACACATTGGTATGTATATTGGGTTGGGCCCATTTTCATTTATGTTAGGCTGGGTCCATTTGCATATTGGTCGGGGTCCATTTATATGTAGGGTTGGGGCCATTTGTATGATATGTGGTATTTTGGAGAACCCATTAAGCTTTGTGTTTATGGTTTTGTGGTTTGAATAGTTGAGGTACTTCCAGTTCTAAAGGGAATGGCCCGACTTTACTGCACAGCATTATCCCCCTGATGATTTTTTCTGCATTGATAATTGTTATTGTACTCTGATGATTATGATACATTTGTTACTATGATGGGTTTTTGGACAAATACTATGTGACTTGATGAATTAAAAATAAAAAAATATGTATGTTTTAGGATGTTACATAATCACAATACGATCATGATTCAACAATAGAAGTCCCAATTCCATCTTTCAAGCTTTAGATTCTTTCATTCAATGGGTTGTGCAACCAGTATGGATTTATTGCATTAAAACCATATCTATGATCATTGATTCTATTTACAAATCTTAACAACTTCCTAATCCTCGATTTGCAATCTAGGGTTCATGGTTAGATTTTACCCAAACATTAATTCCATCAAGCGAATGATAAGACTGCGATTAGAACCATATAAACCACTCAATGAGGGTTAGAAAGCAAAACCCTAACTATCAATACTTGTTAAAAACGGATTTGACTCCATAGCCAAAACCCTAACTTAAATTTTCAATGTAAATTAGGAGGATTTTTACCTTTACACCTCCCATGCTTTGATTCATATATTCAGTTCTTCATTTGAACTTCAAACTCCAACCATAGGGCTCCTTTTAAAACCTCAAAATCGCCATCCCTATTCTATCATTCATTTTATGTTGAGATATGCTCCTAGAGCTAGAATTTGATGAGGAAATGCTTGTTCACTAGATCACCATCTATTACTTCAACACACCAATGGAAGAGGTAAATCGCCATGGAGAGTGCTCCAATCATCGAAATCGACACATAAGCAAGGGAGAGGGGGGATGTTGCATCTTATTTCCCATATTTTTGAATTCTAACCTCAAGATTGCATATTTGTCTAAAACCACCACTTTCTACATATTTGTGACTTTTAACTTTGGATAGTAACCCAACCAGTCCTTCCTCGTCTATAGTATGCTTTAATAGTCCAACCTTCCATATTTGGGTCCACTCTTTCGTCAAAACACTTTCCTTGTTTTGACACTTTCAATCATTGAACCCAAAATGTTATAACTTAAACATTGAGGATGCATTTGGTTGTAAAAAACTGTTTTCATTTCTCAAGAAAATGTTTTTAGAAAATAGAGTTGAGTTTTTATTTCAATTTTCAATGAAAATTTTAGAAAAACACGTTTGGGTGGAGATGGTGAGTTTTCATTTTTCATCTTAGAAATTTAGAAATCTTTAAAAAACTGTAAAAAAATCACTTTTATAATTTACATACAATTTGAAAAACAGAAAATTTACATTTTCTTGGAAATTTTTTTAAAACTGAATCAACCAAACACGTTTTCCAAATTTTCATTTTCATTTGAAAATTTTCATGGAAAACTAGAAATTTTTTCATAACCAAACGCATTCTTAACTTCTCCGTCTGTCATTTTTACTAATAATATGATTAATTTTTGTTATTGTATATAAATTTATTAATTTTTATTTATGTATTATTAACTTGTTTAAATAAAAATTTAAAGTTACCCAAAAAATTCTAGATTTCTAGCTCTGGCTAGTTTTTCTCTTTCCTCTCTATCAATTTCTTTGAAGACAAAGGGTTTTGTTTTTTTATTTTGGTCACTTGTAAGTTATTTGTAACCCACTTTGATTGTTAATTAATACATGTTGTCCGTTTCTCTCTCTGTGAATGTACACAGTCACTCTTATTGTGGAACCACGTTAAGTGCTCGTGTCCATAAGTTTATTTGTTTGCCATTTTCATTTGTTATATATTGATACATTTTGCTCTCATTATTAAACATTGTCATCGTCTTTTCGCATCCTAGTTTGTTATCCCTATCGTTATTGGGTTTTACATTTGTTTATAGGACCAAATGTTTGATATTTTTTCAGGATATGTTTGGATTGCTAAGGTAATCGTTTGGATCACCCATAGGATCCGAAACAGATTACAGTTTATTAAATCTTATTTTCTTTTTTTAATATGTGAATTTAATGTTATTATATGTATATTCCAGGCTATACTGTGTGAACTCGCTGTGTTGCAATTCCAAAGGTAAATATGTATTTCATATTATAACATAAACTTTATCCGATAACATTCGAATTCCATGATATAGTACGGAAATTCATTTCATATCATGTGAAATTACATGTTATAATTTTTTGAACCAACAACAAATTCTTCAAATTTTAGGCAAGACGTAGACTGTAATTATTTATGCTTCTCAAAGTACAATGATGATAGTTTGAAAGATACCAACAAAAAAGATTTCATCCTTAAATTCATGAACTCTTATTTTGTTATTCGATAATACTAAATTTATATATTACCACTTATGTTTTATAATTGTAACTATTCCTTTTGCATACTCAACTTTAAGTTTTTATCACAAAAGCTTTTTCATCGGGCTTGTTTTGTCTAAGAAAATCTTGTATGTTACAGAATCAACTCAACCCGATCTTCTTTAGTTTGAAAACTGTAACCAAAGTAAAGAAAGGAAAGAAAAGGGTAAATACTAGTTTCAAGTGTCAACACTAGTCTTAAACTGATTAAAAAAAAAAAAAAAAAAAAAAAAAAAAAATCTCACCCAAAGACAGTTAAAAGATAGAAACAGTTTGTTGTGGCTTCTTTCTTGAGACCTAAAAAACAAGAAACCTGGTTGAAGAAGCCAAAGCCAAAATGATAATATGCTTTTTTTTTGATGAAAAGATAAAAGTTGGTTGGTTAGTGGTGTTCCATTAATATGATCATAGCATCAGCAGTCCAGTTTTTGAAGGCGTTTTCAAGAGCTTCACGCATCCATGAGTGGCGACAACACTCGACAGCTTCGGGTATTGTGACCCAACTTCTGACCCTACGGCTCTGTTCTGGCCATGAATCCAGTTCTTCCTTCACAAACAATGCAAACATTGCTGCTCGACACCTGCCTTCAGGGCTAAATTCATCTTGTAGTGTTTTGCTTTTGAAATGGTAGTGCCCCAGAAAATGCTGTTGATACATAGATATACTATTAGATTATGTCATAAAAGATACAAACTACATGTTTTCAAGCCTAAAAAACTGACAAATAACATCTAGACTACTCATAAAGTTAGAAAGAGGGAAAAGGGAGCCATTCTTAAACTGACCATTAATTCCCCACGAACTCCAGCCTCTTCCAATGCTTCACGTGCAGCTGCCTCCTCAACAGTTTCATCATTTTCCCATCCACCCTAATAATACATAACCAAATCATAAAATCAAACACAAAATGACTAATAACTAATATGGAGTTGTTTGTAATTAGTACCTTTGGGAACAAAAGACCAGGTCCACTTGTAGAGTTGATCATTAGTACCTCCAAAATCTTCTCAGATTTGTTACCATTACTGCCTTCAGAGTACCGAAACCTGAAGGGGATGCACCTAATCATAATCATAAAGAAAGTTACTTTGAGAACTATTGAAACTCATATATCAACATTTTATCTCTTATTAAATGAACTGCAGTCTGCAGATACCAAAATGGACAATTACAATTACCACAGAAGCTAATTTACAGAACAAGGAGAAACTTGGGGAAGTTCATACTTCATATGCAATAGCTGCCATAGCGTCTTAAACTCCCTACTGGAGTTGAATAGTCGAACAGAAAGCAAGATTCAAGATGATAACAGAAAGCATCGAATGAAGAATTAAGCAATTTAACAGAAATCCTTTCATTACGACTCCCTGGATTACACACAACTACTGACAGATGTATGAATAACTCAACAACAAGCAGAAATCGGGAATAACCTATCTAAATTTGGGGAAAGAGAATGCAGGTTCTTCTTATAAACAAGCTTAAAGATTGAAATAGTTAGGGGAATATTCTGGATTCAATATTAAACAAAGGCAAATGGGAAATTTTATAAATTAAAACACGAAGAGGAACAAGAAAGGGGAGAACAGTCTACCCGGCGATGAGACGGCAACCGGCCTCATAACGCTGCTGATGACGACCAGTGCGGGCCACCAATTCAGACATTTCACTATCAATACATATACCTAAACAGTTTAATCCCTAATAATGCCCTTTTATCATCTCTCTCTTTCTCTTTCTCTTTCTCTTTGTGTCTGCTATTATACCCTTCTTGGGGAATCAAACAAAGACAAAACACCACTCACAAAAAAACTTGTTTTTTAGAGCTCCTTTTCCGGACGAATTCAACCCTGTTTTCAGCAGCAAAAAGATTCCGATTCCTTCCCAATGCGTGTCGCCCAACCTCACCTCCTTCTCAATGCCATTAATCCCGTTTTGATTCTTTGATTTCTATTGCTTATTTTACTGGAAACAAAAAGAAGAATAAAGAGAGAAAAGAAAAAAGAGGGATTGAAGAGATGAGAGAGAAAGGGGAAAAAGGAGAAAGGAGAAAGGAGAAAAGTGGGGAAAGGGGTAGGCGCACGGATCGGAGATTTTGTGTGTTTGGATCGGAAGGAAGGTGTCAAGTTGGGGGACGCAACAGGGTCGGTTACATATATAGAGTGTTAATGAATCTAAAATCTTGACAAAGAACAAATTGTGACTCAAAATATCAAGATTCCATCCCATGCAAACCATGGAAGATCATCTGCAGCGTTTGGTAGCTCCACTCTATTTCCTATGCTTTGATTTTGGATTTTATTCAAGCGATATATCTCACTTTTTGGTATTATTAGAAAATATATTATTTTGCCAATAACAAATAACGGAAATCGTCATTGTGGTTAGTTGCACGTTTGTTCTAAAGTTCTTTTTTTTCTACCGTTAGGTCATTTCTAATGTATTATTTGTTGTGTTTTTCGTTTCTGGCCAACTTGAAATTACTCTTTTGTACTTTTTGATTGATTTTTTTTATTTAGTTTTATTATTGGTTTATATTTATTTAATAAAACAAATTAAAATGGTCTGTTTCACAACCCCCTCCCACACTCCTCTTCTAAACCTTCTCACCATAGAAAACCCTAAAACACTATCCACTACCATCTTAACCCCTTTCATTAGACTGTCGTCAGGAAACCACCTCCTACCAATGAAAAAAACCATCACCCACACCTTCTGCCCTAACCTAAAACTTAAATCCAAGATCTCACCCTTCTTTTTTCTTAGTTTCCAGTATCAACTTTGGCGAGACCATAACGTCATTGAACACCACACGACATCACCATCGTCGTTGTGAAGCCACCACAACCACCATCGGATTCAGATATGTTGCCACCACAACCACCATCACCATCGCATTCAGATCGACTGCCACTGTTGCCTGATGCCACCACCACTACCATCGACCGCCGTCAAACAGTTCTAGTTCAAGAAGAAGGTGACACATGCAGATCTAAGCTAAGAGAGGAAGAAAGTGAACTATATAGAGTTGACGATGGTGGCGACGACGGTTTCTGACGAGATAGGTAGAGAGCGACATAGGTATCCAGCGAGATAGTGGGGTAGAGAAAAGCAGTGAGAAGAGAAAGTCAAGAAATACGGAGAGATTGTGGTCTGATGGTGTGACGACGATCTGATGGTTCTAACAGCGATCTGACGGCAACCAACGGTTTTAGTGGTAGGGTTTAGGTTTATATATCCTTCGATTGATATAAGAGAGAGAGAGAGAGAGAGAGAGAGATAATATGTGAGATGAGAGAATTAGATGGTTCGGTTGGGGTTGGGAGTATGACCTATATATTTATTAATTATATAATTTATTGTTTGTAATTAATAAATAACAAAAAATCTGAAAAAAAAAATACAAAAGGCAAAAGGGTCATTTCAAGTTGGTTAGAGACGAAAAACGTAACAAAATAATATGTTATGGACAGTCTAAGTGCAAAAATAAATGGACGAAACGCACAATTTTCACAATCTACATGGACAATTATAATAATTTTTCTCTTGGGTGCCAAAAATGTTATAAAAATAAACAAATTATGGTTTTTCGATTTTCACATTATATATTTTCGAAATACCAGAAGTCGGTGGATAGGTTCAACCCTCTTCTTTGTACCCACGTACATTTTTTAACCTCTACTTTAGAAAAAGATGATTTCCATTCTTTTACGTTTTAAAATATTGATTTATCCCTTTGAAACTTTTAAAATTTTATTTCCACCTCTTTCTTTTTTCACCCTCTACTTTTTTAAGTGTCACTTTTATCCCCCTCCCCTCAGTTTTAAGATCGACTGCCACTGCTGCCTGAAGCCACCATCACTACCATCGACCGCTGCCAAACAGTTCTAGTTCAAGAAGAAGGTGAACATGCAGATCTAGCTAAGAGAGGAAGAAGGTGAACTATAGAGAGTCAACGATGGTGGCGACGACGGTTTCCGACGAGATAGGTAGAGAGCGACATCGGTATCCAGCGAGATAGTGGGGTAGAGAAAAGCAGTGGGAAGAGAAAGTCAAGAAATACGGAGAGATTGTGGTCTGATGGTGTGACGACGATCTAATGGTTCTAACAACGATCTAACGGCAACCGACGGTTTTAGTGGTAGGGTTTAGGTTTCTATATCCTTCGATTGATATAAGAGAGAGAGAGAGAGAGAGAGAGAGAGAGAGAGAGAGAGACAGAGATAATATGTGAGATAAGAGAATTAGATGGTTCGGTTGGGGTTGGGAGTATGACCTATATATTTATTAATTATATAATTTATTTTTTGTAATTAATAAATAACAAAAAATCTGAAAAAAAATACAAAAGGCAAAAGGGTCATTTCAAGTTGGTTAGAGACGAAAAACGCAACAAAATAATATGTTATAGACAGTCTAAGTGCAAAAAGAAACGGACGAAACGCACAATTTTCACAATCCACATGGACAATTATAATATTTTTCTCTTCCAATGTTATAAAAATAAAAAAATTATGGTTTTTCGATTTTCACATTATATATTTTCGAAATACCTGGATAGGTTCAACCCTCTTCTTTGTACCCACGTACATTTTTTAACCTCTACTTTAGAAAAGATGATTTCCATTCTTTTACGTTTTAAAATATTGATTTATCCCTTTTGAAACTTTTAAAATTTTATTTCCACCTTTTTCTTTTTTCACCCTCTACTTTTTTAAGTGTTACTTTTATCCCCCTCCCCCTAGTTTTAAACTTTCTAAAATATCACTTTCATCCCTCCATTTTTTAAACCTTCATGTTTACCTGGTAGTATACATAATCTGATTCTCCTACGATTACCACCATCGACTTTGCAAAATGTAACTTTCACCTCCCTCGGCTTTGAACTTTGTAAAATTCATTAAGTTATAAAAAAATTAATCTATTATGTGTTTATTTTTATATATGTGTAGATATAAATTCGAGGTGGTCAACGTTTCGACGTAAATTTAGAAATTTCGACATTTAATTATAAAAAAAAACTTACTTGTTTTTTCTATGTGTGTGTCGGTATAAATTTGAGTTTGTCTACGTTTCGACGTAATATTTTTTACATTTTCATCTTTCAAGTTTGTCTATGTTTCGATGTAAATCTTTTTTTATGTTTAATTGTTTATTGTTAAGCATTTTGTTTGGCATGATTTTGGTCCCTCACTTTTTTTACTTTGGCAACTTAAGCCCTCCTAAGTTTCTATGCATGGCTTAGTCCGTGACTTTTTCTATTGTTATCGAAATAGTTCATTTTCTTAAATCTATTAGGGAAATTGACATATTAAGTTAATTAACTTTTCGGTTTGTTCACATCTGAATACTATATTTTTTTGTATACATCTAGGTAACGAACTTGTTGAAAGTGTTCACATATGACCATTATGACCGACTGTAGCAAGTTACATCAAATATGAACAAAATGAAAAGGTAATTATCGTGATAAGCCAATTTGCATTTTTATTAAGGTAGTCGATCATAATGTTTGTAATATTAATAGATTTAGTTAAATTTCCTTAAACAATATTTATGACCATTTAGGAGCATTTAAATTGGCGTTTTGGTAACATATTTATCAAATATATATATATATATATATATATATATATATATATATATATATATATATATATATATATATATATATATATATATATATATATATATAAACACACACACACACACACTAGGTATAAGACACGTGTATTACACGGATTTTAAAAAAAAATATCAAGTTGTAACATTAAGCAATTTTTAATGTAATACTTTGTTGATAATTTTGAATTTTATTTGTAACACCATGTTTCGAATCGTTTCATAATTAGGGGTCGTGACCCGAAGATCGGTTATCATAAGGCTTAGGGCCTTTGGGAAAGAGGGGATTTAGACCCATGTGGGTGTGGGTAATGTAGGTTAGATGATCCGGGAGTTCGAATTATGATTTGGAGCCTAAAGGTATATTCGTAAAGTGGCAGTTCGGGCCTTTTATGAATTTTGGATTTAACTTCGGAAAGCTTTAAGGCAAAGGAGAGTTCATAGAATTATAGAGATTCTCATTACCTTTCCGTGGATATAAAGAACATCGAAATTTGACTTAGAACGAAGGATTTTATGGTCGATTGAAGTTAGGAGTGTTATGGAGCTTAGGCTAGTACGCGAGGTGTACTCTTTGAGTACGCAATGCGTAGTGTTGAGATTGATCGTGGGTGACCTTCGAGTACATCGGGCGTACTCAGGAGTATGCGGGGCGTACTCCAAACAGCTAAAAACCTTAATATCTAGGGTTTTACCCATATTTAAGCTCATTATGTCCCTTGAGCCTTGTCTCTTATCAGCCTCCATATCTCCTAAACCCTAATATCGACCCTTAGCCACCATCTTTGAGTTCTTGAGCTCTTGGGAGGAATCTTAGTGTGTTCTTGTGCATTTTGAAGAGATTAAAGGCTATTGAAGATTCATCACTTGGAGTGAAGCTTAGAGATCTAGAATTGTCACCTCTTTTGTAATCTATTGAAGGTAAAAAGTTCTTATATTGGCATCTCTTTGAGTAAATCTAGTTTGGGGTGATTTTTGGCATATTTTGGTCTCTTGGGTTTGTCCTTTTGAGAAAGAATTACTCTTTGAGTAAGAGGAGTTGGTATTAGGAGCCTAGTAGTTTTTCCCGTTAATGAGATAAGACTTATTATCGATGCCTAGTTCAATTAAGTTTGATATTGGGTAGTCTCATTCGGAGAATGTGTGTAGGTTAGGAACGGAGAGTAGAGTTATGTCCTGTGACACTTTTAGGTGTCGATAGTCATTCATTATTGATCCAAGAGTATGGATTAGGTGAAGTCATTCATCACTGATCCGAGAGAATGGATTAGGTACAATCATTCATCTCTGATCCGAGAATATGGATTAGGTATTGTCACTCATCACTGATTCGAGAGTATGGATTATGTATAGTCGTTCATCACTGATCCGAGAGTATAAATTAGGTATAGTCATTCATCACTGATCCGAGAGTATGGATTAGTTATAGTCATTCATCATTGGTCCGAGAGTATGGATTAGGTACAATCATTCATCACTGATCCAAGATTATGGATTAAGCATAATAATTCGAGAATTCCATACTTTTTCCCAGCTATCTCTATTGGTCCTCGTCTACTGCTAAGGAATCCTCGAAGTAGCATAGTCAAATGGTTGTTTACATAATCTCTTCTGGTTAAATGTCGTAAGGTCATTGTATAGGATCTATATATGAGGATCGACGGGATGAGATTTATTGCTTATATGA